TGGCATCTGCTGCCAACCTCGTTGCAGAAACGATAGTCGCGCACATATTTTTTTTTGAGTCCTCAATCTTATGAATTTGAAATCGTAAATCTACGTATGAGTAATCACGATCTGAATTAGAATCGACGAAAACAGTTGTGAGATTGCGAGATACCTAACCAGCTAATGAAGAGTAGTACGTTACATTAATGAAGATACAAATATGCTTAAAAGTGCTAAATCTTTCATTTTTCATTCTATGTTCTATACATTTGAAAAATGTAGGAGATCGCTGGGATCGGGTGAAGCGAAATCGATGAAACCGTGGCTTTCCAAAGTATCGATGGCATCAGGAATTACGTGAAAATATGAACTTACCGAAATTATATCCGGTTCCAATATCCCTATACTGATCGAAATTCGACACGCTCGATACGGAGCGCCAGACGCGAGTACATATATTTGCAATTACCTAAGCTAGTTAATGATTAATTGCGTCCTCCACCCGCAATAATGTACCTGTCGACTATGTGGATACGAATTGCAATTTTCAGCTGCCGCGTTACACGGGTAGGGAACGAGAAAAGAAAAATTTTAGCATGTAAAAACATATATCTGTCTCGAGGAATGCCGCTCTTTTCGCCGAGCTGTATCTTTGTGCGCGAATTACTCCACACATTCATCTCGCTTCACGAGCTCTCACTGGCGCAGGTACGCGGATTAATACCGGGGAATATCATTTTTTCGGAATTAATAACTTTCCGGGACTAGAGATCGACTCGCATATAGAGAGTTCGTATATTAAAAAGTACGGAAGTTCGTGCTCCGAAATATTAACTCCTGGCTTTAATATCTCTGCTTGCGCGAAAATCAGGAACAGTTGCATTTTGCGTGTAACGATCCGCGAAATGCATCCAACTACGGCCTTAAAAAGCGCACGAATTCGCGCTCGCAGCCAGAATGAAGGTAATATCGACAACTGTACACAGATTTTTTTTTTCTATTTACGATACAAAGAACTGCGGATACGCTACCACCGGAATCAGTTTACAGCGATTCGCATTTACGCATGTAATTAAACTGCTATTGTTGGAATCCGTATTGTATAATTCATGTTTTAGTGGCCTTACACATAAAATAACAATGTTATAACAAAAAATCATGTTTTATTGCCAGCGTTCAATGAATAATAACAAAAAATATACAGAAATAATAAGTTGATAAATTATGTCATGATGTAACTTTAGAATAGTATACTTGCGATACTATTTATTTATCTAAAACTCTATTCAAGGGAATATAAATACATATTAGCGAATTGCACTGTTACTAGGACCTTTGTAGAGTTAACCGACAACGTGTCAAAATGCATTTGCTATGCAAATTTGATTGGAGTAAAGTAAACGAAACTCTCACGTTTATAGGATTGACGTGCATGCGATAAATACATTTAATTATGTAATTATATACAACATCACGTCCATATAGAATTAGTAAACTTAAAAAAATAGCGGCACTGTTAATGATAATTCTAGCGTTAATTGCGTTATACGCAACATAACTTTTATATAAATAATAAGAAATATTATTTTTAATAACAAATTATATTAAAGAACAATCGCTATACTAAGATAATCATAAAATGTACAAATCACAATGATAAAAAGATCACCTACTCTTCTCTTTGGTATATCAATGGAAGAAACTGATTCGCGGTGGTCCGTGTAATTTCTATATATACAATGTATATATGTACACATATTCTAAAAATTGTATATAATATTGACAGCATAAATCTTATGCTGTTGTCGGTACCAACCGATACAAAGTTAAACCATATACCTTTGTGAAAAAGCGCAGTTATGAGATCCTGCCTTTAATATCTCAACGGTAATCCATAACGAGGAAAATGTTTTCGCTTGTTCTTGTTTGGTCCGAGAATCTTTGTGTGCTATATGTTTTACGTCTCTCAAAAACCCATCGCGGTACCAAAAGTGATCAATATTGATCTCAGTGTCTCACCAAGCTTACCTTCCAGAAAGACATATCGCTATAATTACGCATGTATAAAAAGAAAGAAAGAAACGAGGAGTAAATCACCGTCCAGTGTATGGATACACACACACACACATACTACATACATACACACTACATACTAGTTTTGTAATATCCATGTATTAGATAGCAGTCTACTAATACATTTTTTATTCTTATTAATATCTCTTTTTATTATATAATAATGGCCCAGTGATTTACCTCTCATAACTAGCGAGAGATGTGCGTTTGTCAGTCATTAAGTGTATAAGTATTATATTCAAAAACGGGAATGGGAAGTTATTGTTCTCTTTTCTTGCGACATATTTTCTTGGAAGACAAACCGCGAGATCGAGAATGTACAGGATGGGCTCGTACGTTGGCACTATTTTCAATTGCTTGCGCGAATTTTCGCAGCCGCGCAAATCGATGGAATTTACTCGTTGCTACGAAAAAACTATCGTGCAGTCATCAGTGATGAGAAATTATCTTCTACATGCTACGTACCTGCTTCTCTTCCTCGTTTTCTACACGATATACCGTTAAATGATACCTGTATCGACACATCGATAGAACATGCTTCCTATCGATACTACTCACTAAACATAGCTGCTAAACATGAATACATCAAATGCGATAAAATACTTAGTTACGTTTCGCAGTGAAGGAAGTTTCCGTCGTCGATGTCCATGGCTATTCTGTAGATATCTTATAATTATTAATGCATAATGAGTTATGTAAATGTAATAAATACAAAGTATGGGTATTACTATCAAGGTTGATGATGGTGTATTGTTTTGGCAGTTTGTCGGTTTTTCTCTTCCCTTGTGATGGCTTGATAAATTCTATTCTCTGCTTTTCACATTTTT